GATAACCCTCTAGATAAAGTACTTTCAACTGTCAGACTTGATTGATTGAAGTCAAGGAATGAGCTCCACTCGCCCGCCATAGGTTGAACAGGTGCAATTTTGAGCTTCACCGTGACAGGTGGCTCCAACAATGCGCATCCTTGAAAGCCTTATTTTTCATCTCCGACTCATAAATCGCCTTTGACATGGCCATCTACATACATTAAAAACAAAATATTATTTTATTATTAAGATTAAAAGAAAATAATATTAATAGCATAAAAAATTTGCTTACCATATCATATTTGGTTTGCCACTAAATCTTAGCTCATTACCTTTCCTCAATGCTCTCTTCTGTGTGCTACATTTCTATCCTATTATCTTGAATCGTGACTTCATCGATTGTCAAGAGCGATCAGAATGCAGAATGACAGTTTTGAACGTCTCATCAATTTGTTGTCAAAACTTTTGAAGTCGTTGATCATTGCCTATGTATTGTCGCATGATATTTTGAACCATACTTGACATAAGCCTATGTCTTCATCTTCGGGCCAATTGGCTCCTCTCTTGCTCATGATGAAGTAGTAGAAGATGAGAAAAAGTTTTTAAGGCTAGGTGTATAGGGAAATTGTTGATAATGAGAAATGATATGGTGAATGAAAAGGTTGAGTGGGAAAGAGATATTATAGAGTTTTGTTATGATTTCATTACTGTTATAGTTTTATTTAGATGCTCATGTTTTATCGCTGTGGAGATTCAAACTCAAAATACATTATCAAATTTTTTATCTTCAAATAACAACCGAATGGTCAAAATTTCTACCAAAATGAGTTTTGTTGGTCATAAAAATACAATAATAAACATAATAAAACACATATACTGATTAAAATAAAATTAAAAAGCAAAAATCGCAGCACTCACACCCCTTGGGGGTACGATTCGGCAAAGTTAAACTACTAACATGCCATTTTGTTAGTGTATACTAACACGGCCTAGATGATAATCACGTCGGCCCACATATGATCCAAGTGAGGAGGGTTAATGACTTGTGGTGGCTCACTTAACTGAGCTGATCTTGGGCTTTGACATGGAAGTTGCACCAGCCGACGAAGCTGAAGAAGGTGGCGCTGGGTCCACCATGATTTGGGTGGGATTGGGAGAGGAAAGGAAAGTGGCGGTGGGCCCACCACTTTTCTCTCTCTCAACACCTTTTTTCTGTTTCTCTCTTGTGGTTACAATGAATATTTCTTTTGGTTATAGCGGATATTTATTGCTACATCAATGCCCAAACTGTCAGCAGAAAAATTGATGAGCATGAGGAGATGGCTACCAGAAAGGAATATTAGAAAATTATACTGAGAAACAAATGTCCACTTTCTTACCATCAACATATTAGGGAAAGGAAGAAAGCAAAATCAAAGTGAATTTACTAATTTGACACATGTAAGTTTATATAGCTGAGAATGAACTTTGACAATGCAACCCAAACTTACTGTAGGACGCCAACAATATTTCCAGCCAAGCCAAAGAAAAGACCCTTGCAGACTATTTATCCACCACCACGAGCTTCTTGTAATATATTTAAAGTAACCACACAAAAACCTGAGCAAATTCTTATACTTAACCATCAGTTCCAGTTATCGAATCACACCCACATTCACAAGCAATCATATTCATATTCCAACTAATCAATCTCCCCACATTTGCTATGGAAGGTTAATCTTACTGAAGGAATCATGCTCCATATTATACAAAAATGAATCAAAATCCAAAACAAATAACGAATCACCCTACAATTAGAATCACCACAACTTCACATGCTTGCAACTTTATCTTGATAGTATCAATGGGATATAATGTTGTTTCAACTACTATACCAGCAACCTCCCACAATTACTCCTTCTGCATCAATTTCACCAGGGCAGTAATCAGCATACGTAAGAAAACACACCATTGATTCAGCTTTATCGCAGCAATTTAAACACACTTAAGGTTACTGAACATGTATCAGCATAAGAAACAAGTGTATATTTGCAATACAACAACAAAAAGACAAACATTGAGTACAAATGCCAAATGCCATGAACTAGAAATGCAAAGACAATAGGAGCTTCAACGACATTCCGTCCAAACTGAGATCTTCTCTACCCACTCACAACTGGGATATCACACATTAGTGAGTTTTAAAACAAGAATGTTCAAAATCCCATATGCAAAGCATCCTTCAAACCCTAAATCAATAAACCTCGACTTAAAATGGAGTCTTGAAAGTACACATACACTTGAAATTTTTTTGGGGCCAAAAGATTGTGGGGATACCACCAAACAATTTTGGTCCCACCCACCAATAATTAGGGGAAGCTTACTCGAATTCTAACTTAGAGCTAATGGCCTCGAGAATAACTCACCGTCAAGAATAATTTTCTTTTATTCACTATAGCATACTCGTAACAAAAGGATCATCTGACTAAAGATGTATTTTCTTGTAGTATGAATAGAGAGCATATCTCAAGTTTCTATATTGAGAACATCGTCGATTGTTCACTAATACGCCATATCTGGAAGGAGCTTCTTCTATCGTCTCCGTTGTGTTCACTAACGTGCTTCCTCCTGATTTGCAATCATGTTGCGAACGTTGTTGGCTGTTTGTTAAACTCGGACGAAGCTCTCTTTGTTGTTAACGTCGTCTGTTGCATTTACTTGAATGAAGAGAGAGAAGCAAGTGGTTGTTGTGTTTGCCTATACGAGGAGAGAGAAATGATGTTGAGTAAAGAGAGATAAATACCTAATTTTTGTAGAATGGTGGTCAAAATGACTAAAGAGCTTTGATTATTATTTACAATACACTACTAAGATTGGTCAACTAATATTTGCTAAAAAATGTAAACTAACTTAAAACGTATAGTTCACTTCTTTCTAATTTTTTATTGGTTAGTAGTACGGGTATTTTTGTATTAACACTTAAAATGTTAACATCAAATCCAGACCCTGAAAATAACTAGTAGGAAGAACAAATTGTAATAATGGTTGTCACATCAGTAGAATGTTGATCGGTTGATCCTGGAATAATCGGTGTTAGCAAAGAAACCGACTGGAATACTAGCGGTATGATTGATATGATTGATATTCAGTTTTGAAACAAGATGATGTCGTTTTAGTGAATTTAATCAACAAAAAAATAATTTGTGATTTATTTCGTGAATTTGAAAATTAAATGTTGATGTAATTTGTTGGATTCATATATAAAACTTGGAAAGTCAACTTTGAATATTGTATTTAAATATGAATATTTTATTTTGTTTGAAATATTATAATTTATTTAAATATTAATATAGATTGCAGGTAGATTATCATCAAGTATGTTTGGTATATAATTAATTTCATTTGATATTAATGATTTTTACATTTATACATAGTTTGTTATGTCGAGGACTATAGGTGTTAAAACAAAACCCGACCCGACTAACCCACCCGATCAACCCAACCTGCAACTGGATCGCAACCCGAATCGACTAAAAGTCAACAACACGTAACCCGCCCAACCTGCAACCCGACTAACCCGCAACCCGATTAACCCGCAACCCGATTAAACCCAAAACTCGATTAACCCAAAACTGATTGATCCGAACCCGCCTTACCCGCAACCCGACCGACTCAACCATAACTTTTTTTTAATGAATCAATGGGATCTTCATTCATCAAAAAAGGGTTGTTAGCAACTACCCTGCTAACTAGGCTGAGTCAACCTATAAGTACGAACAAAAGAAACAAAACCTATCAAAATCGAATCTCTAAGGGAGATTAACTAACCAAAACAAGGAAACCCTCTGCAGACCCAACACATACTCAACCTCTCCCTAAATAGCTTTCAACAAGACCTGGAAATCCCTAACTTCCCCTGCATACAACCTCCTGCATCGCTCTCTCCATATGTGGCTCACTCACGCCTGCCTAGATAACACGCCCAGATTCAGCAACTTCCGTCACTCCACCAAGCTCCCTAATCAAGAAAGTCAGCAGCTCTTCCCAATCCTGCACCCTAGGCATCTGTAGAAACCTGCAAAACAGCGCAGCAAACAACTGCCTCGAGAACGAGCAATGGACATACAGATGATCCATATCCTCTAACCCTGATTGGCATAGACATCATGATAAACAATATTAATATAATATATAAATTAAAATTTTGGTTAATTTAACTATTCAATAAAGTTATCAATTAAATATAAATAAAGTAAAATAATGTATTTGATAATTTGATTCTTTTAAAAGAATAGGAAAATTTTAGTTTATTCAAGTTTTTGGCAAGAGAAACAAGAGGGAAATTATGTTCTTTGAATTGTTTAGAAAAGAAAAAGGGGGAATTTTGGTGGTTTTTGATTTGTGGGAAGTGAAGAAGTGGGAAAGTTTGTTTCTTTTGATTATGAAAAAAAAATAACGAGGAAAATTTTGAGTTTTTAACTTTTTGTGAAAAGAAGGAAGGAAGAGGGAAATTTGATTCTTCAAATAGAAGAGAAAGAGGAGGGAAATTTCAAATTTGGTTCTTTCAATTTTATGGAAGAGAAAGAAGAAGGAAAATTGAGTGTTTCTAAATTATGAAATTAGAAAATAAGAGGAGAATTTTAGTATTTTAATTTTTTTTTGTGAAAAAGAAAGAAGAAAATAAATTCGGTGTTTACCGCAATCATTTTTTTTTACTCGATGCGTAAGTTACTTGATGCGCTGACCCGAACAACCCGCAACCCGATTCGCCCGCAACCCGCCCGACCCAAAGCTCGATTAACCGGTAATCCGATTTTCCTGAACCGAATTGAACCCGATGAACCTGCAACCCGTTTGAACCAAAATCCGATGAACCCGAACCTGGTGAACCCGCAACCCGTTTAAACCCAAACCCGATTGAACCCAGCCCGAAAACGCCCGATTGACACATATAGCGACGACTGTACTCCGAAAGACACATATCAATTGCTAAACCGACACAATATAAAGTAGGTTTACCAACCTTTCACAACTAAAAACACGTTGTGCATTTATTTATATATATAAAAGACACGTTGTGCATGGAAAGCAAATTGCGGTGCGGTGACGCCGCGATGATTCTGCGCGTGTCCTGTCCACCACCGCATATATATGATCTTAAGGAAGTGGGAGCGTCCGTTATGGGTCCTTTTCAAGTTATTATATAGTGGGTAGGAAGGTGGGGACCACTGCCGCAAATCACGGCTAAATAGAACCTCGCAGCGCAGCCAGGGAGTGAGACTGATTTGGATTGGATTCGGCGCTTTCTTCTAGTCTCACTCACACTCAACACTCAACACTCGGTCATATTTACGCGATTTACCGAGTCCAGCCTGCAATTCTCCCAAGGCAAATCAACCAACTGCTACTCAGCTTTCGGTGGAAGCGAAATGGCGAAGGAGATCGGATTCTTCGAATTGAACACCGGAGCTAAGATGCCGTCGGTGGGCCTCGGCACTTGGCAGGCTGAACCTGGCCTCGTCGGAGCCGCCGTCGAGGCCGCCATCAAGGTGATCTCTATTCACTACTACTCCGACCTCAAAGAAAAGCTATTATTTCAAAATTTGGTCGCGATTCCTGAACAATTTTGTTTTGATTTTCTTTCCTCTCTGTGAATGTAATGCAGGTTGGCTACCGCCATATCGATTGTGCTCGAGTTTATGACAACGAAAAGGAGGTAAACGACGCTACAGCTCATTTTCTGTGCAAAATTTTCTGATTCCCTTTCAACTCTTGTATTTTTTTTTTTTTTTTTTTTTTTGTCTAGGGCTAGTTGTTGATCGCTGTAAATACTGTAGTCTTAGTTCGACCCCTTACCTATTGAATCCCATTGCCGCTGGCGCTAAATTCCATCTACATATGAACTCCTCTAACGATTGATTAACCATTTATTTGGTCATGTAGATTGGCGAAGTCTTCAAGAAGCTGTTTGAGGAGGGTGTGGTCAAGCGCGAGGAATTGTTTATTACCTCGAAGCTTTGGTTAGTCCTCTACTTAGTACTTTAGTGTGGGAAAATCACCTACTGTGTTACTCTTGCCTCTCTATTTGGTTGATCTAATTACCTGACATTTTTCATAAAAAGAAAAAAACTCATTTTACTGTGAATGAGCAACAGGTGCAACGCTCATGATCCAGAAGATGTTCCAGGAGCACTGGAAACCACTTTGGCAGAGCTTCAGCTTGATTACGTTGATCTCTACCTTGTATGTTCTTGACTCCCTTCTCATTTCGATTCTTCTTTTGCAGTTTGCACCTGCTTGCTTGGCTCGATTATGTCTTGAACTGTTTGACTGTACGTGGATGTTTATGCAAAACCTTTAGTGGATTCATTCCCTTGCTACCCTTACTTACTCAATCTGTATTAGTCACTCACTCATCAGGAAATTAGAAATTCCTCTCTGCTGTAGAAAAGAACTGAGCTTGAGCCATTGAATGTTACCTGTTGACAGTATAGACTTGTGGCTCATCTTTACTTTCCATTTCACGTTTTTATGGTTGTAACTAGTGAAGATGAATAGCAGAAAAGACCAATGTTTAGGTTTCCTGCTGAAAGTAAGCAGGCCAGAAGATTAAATCGAACATTATTATCTGTTTCACAGATTCACTGGCCAGTCAAAATGAAGAAAGGTGCCGTTGGGTTTGTATCGGAGAACCTTCTTCCACCAGATATCCCCAGCACCTGGCGAGCAATGGAAGCACTCTATGCTTCAGGCAAGGCCCGTGCTATTGGTGTCAGTAACTTCTCTGTGAAGAAGCTGGGAGATTTGTTGGAGGTGGCTCGTGTGCCTCCTGCTGTGAATCAGGTGGAGTGCCATCCAGCATGGCAGCAGCCCAAACTGCGTGCATTTTGTCAGTCCAAGAACGTTCACCTATCAGTAAGTCATCTCTGTTGATTAATGTAGAACGTGTTCATGAGATGCCAATTGACATTTCACATGCATATGTGTCTTGCTTTCAGGGGTATTCACCACTGGGATCTCCTGGAACTACGTGGATCAAGGGGGATGTCCTCAACAATCCAATCCTGTCTGAGGTTGCAGAGAAATTGGGGAAAACTCGTGCACAGGTAGCGCTACGTTGGGGCCTGCAAATGGGTCATAGTGTGCTACCTAAGAGTACAAATGAAACAAGGATCAAGGAGAACATTCAAGTCCACGGCTGGTCTATCCCTGACGACTTATTTGCTAAATTCTCTGAAATTGAACAGGCAAGTCTTATTTCTTTTTCTTTTTGTGTTCTCAGCAATACACATTCTTCTCTTATCTTAATATGTGTGGTGATGCCTTCATTACAGGTAAGGCTTGTGAGCGGAACTGGATTCGTGCATGAGACCTACGGCGCTTACAGGAGCATTGAGGAGTTGTGGGACGGTGAAGTCTGAATTGCACGTCTGGAAGTGCAAATTGGTGAATGAAGGCAGTGGCGAACTTGTGTGAGCCCACCGCCCGAGGCAGTAGATGCTTCTCTAGTTTAAATTTCATTCTGTGCTTAAGAAATTGAGGTGAACTGTTGTTGGTTGATAACTTTCGCTGGAGGCTTTAGGGACTGCATAAATTTACTGCCTAGGAAGTTGATTGATTTGTGATGATTGCAGTATTGTTTTCAATGGGAACCGGAGTTGAATTGTTTGCAGGGTGCAATTTTTCAAATTAGAAGACGAACTCATATAGATTTCGGTTTAGCCATTGCACTCTTCTGCGCTGCAACGAGTTTAGAATTCTTGAAGGTCCTAAAGTAGGAATCTGAATTTCTCTAGGGCTAATTACAACTCGGAGGCTTAAAACTAGAGGGCTAAAGGCTCGAAGAAATAAACTGATGCAATTCGGTAGCTATAATTTTATGTTGAGGGTTTTATACTAATTTATAGATTGGTAAATTTATGTTTTTCCATTTAAATTTTTTAGATTTGTTTACGATAATTCAATACGAATATTCCGATAAAATTTGAGTAATTTTGAAGATATTTTTTGACAATTGAAATAATTAGTTAATCAAATATAACCTCCATAATCAAATGCAAGCTAGGAACTCAAATGCAAATTTGAAATTCAAAGAGCAATCAGTATCATAATGACTAGGGCAGTTCTCATCACTACCTCCACCAATGACATTGGCACTTCCACCATCATCATGACTAGCATCCCTAACATTAGAAGTCATATTGTCGACTCTTAACCATCTTCCCCATATTTGGAGCTAACTTGCTTATGCCAATTTTCAAACAAAGCTGCTTCTTGTTCCCTCATATTCAACTCTTATTTCTTCTGGTGGGCAAATCCTCATCGTCCAATCGTCCACTTCCTTTGTTCATACTTCATCTTCTGATTTTCATAGATAGTACTATCCTTATTCCTCCGAGCTCCTCTAGCCAATAATGACTCCCGACGTTAATCAAGCAAAGCTGATGATTCATTCTTGAATTTCGCATTGTTTTGGGTTCTTTGCTTATCACGTTCGTCGGGTATAGACAACCCTCTAAATTAAGTACTTTTGACTTAATTGATCGAAGACAACGATGAGCTCCACTCGCTAGCCATAGGTCGAATAGGTGAACATTTGAGTACATAATCAGGATGCAATTTAGGACACCATTACAGGATTCCCCAATAACGCGTATCCTTGAAAGCCCTATGTTTCATATTCAACTCATAAATCTTCTTTGCCATGGCCATCTACATAAATTATAAACAAAATATTATTTTATTATAAAAATTACAAGAAAATAATATTAATAAAATAAAAGGACTTACCACATCATCTTTGGTTTGGCACTAAATCTTTGCTCTTTGCCCTTCCTATATCCCCCTTCCATGTGCTACATGTCCGTTCTATTATCTTGAATTCACTCTTGAATTTCGCATTGTTTTGGGTTCTTTGCTTATCACGTTCGTCGGGTATAGACAACCCTCTAAATTAAGTACTTTCGACTTAATTGATCGAAGACAACGATGAGCTCCACTCGCTAGCCATAGGTCGAATAGGTGAACATTTGAGTACATAATCAGGATGCAATTTAGGACACCATTACAGGATTCCCCAATAATGCGTATCCTTGAAAGCCCTATGTTTCATATTCAACTCATAAATCTTCTTTGCCATGGCCATCTACATAAATTATAAACAAAATATTATTTTATTATAAATATTACAAGAAAATAATATTAATAAAATAAAAGGACTTACCACATCATCTTTAGTTTGGCACTAAATCTTTGCTCTTTGCCCTTCCTATATCCCCCTTCCATGTGCTACATGTGCGTTCTATTATCTTGAATCGTGACTTCTACGATTGTTGCGAGAGATTAGTACGTGGGATGACAGTTTTGAACGTCCCCCAATCTATTGCCAAATTTTTTGAAATAGTTGTTCATTGCATATGTCTTGTTACATGATATTTTGAACCAAACTTGACATAAGGCTATGTCTTCATCTTTGGACCAATTGGCTCATCTCTTGCTCGTGACGAAATACTAGAAGATGAGAAAACGTTTTTTGGCTAGGTGTATAGAGAAAGTGTTGATAATGAGAAATGAGATGGTGTATGAAAATGAGGAATGGGATAGAGATTTTATAGAGTTTTTCTATTTGTTTTATGACCGTTGTAGTCGTTATTCTGATTCTCGTGTTTTATCGCTGTTAGGATTTAAATTATTAAAAAAAGTATCTAATTATTTTTGTCTTCAAATAGCAATGGTCAAAATTTCTACCAAAATGAGTTTCGTTGGCTATAAAGCACAACATAAACATATTAAAACTTGGATAATAATTAAAAGAAAAATAAAAAAATGCGGCACTCGCGCATACCCTGGGGGTACGAGTATGCTTCATTCTGACCACTGGTTCCCTTGTCTGCTTTTGTACCCCACTTTTTTAGCCCCCTCCTAAGCACATTTCACAATTTTGACTAAAGGCAAGCTGTCGTTTTAGACTACGAATTGTGAAGACCAACATGAAGAGAGTGCCCTAAGGACGCAAGGTAATCTGCGGTGTGATTAGCTTCTCGATAGATATGCTCTAGCTTGACTTGCCAATCCCGTCTATCCACTGCTTAATCTCAACAATGTGTCTGTAATGGAGGTGATACTGTGTAGCCGACTCAATGAGGGAAAAAGTTGTGTGACTCGCTAAAACACAACTCCTAACAATGGCCAACTGTAATCAATGAAAGGGACTGCAGTATAGTGGTGCAAGTAATAAATATCGAATCATCGAGTCTCTAAATGTACTATTACTCAGTTTCAGTTCATTATCTAGCAGATCAGATTAAGTTTTGATTAACTAAACCGCTCTACAAGCTAAACTAGGTAAACTACTAATTAAAGGTTGGGAACTCACTTAGATATGGTTCCCCCTAGTTTGCAGTTAGGCCAAGTTGTGATTTACCCAATCCAATTCAGATGACAAATATACTGCGGAAAGTTCTTGACAAGTCTGAAATCTCCACTAAAGTAATCCAAACCCTCTCAATTCGAATACCCGGCGGGCGACTAACCTCCATCAGCATAAACTAACCAAGGCAATAACACATCAAATTTCCTCTACTGGCTTTAATTATAGTACAGAGCATTGAATCGATTTCTCAACTAAAGCAATCCATCCACTACTTCCAATTCAGGTTGCTCTATTAACCTATGCAGAGACTATCATCCGGGGTTAAAGCAGGAATCACAAAAGTTTGATTAGGACTCAAGTAATTCAGAACCAATGCCTCAACTTAATATAAAAAGTCAATCAATCATGAATTCAAGTTCAAACAACTATTCCGAGCATACAAATCTAGGGTTCCTCAATACCTAAGTGAAAGGAAGTTACTGCATAGGGAAGAGAGAGAATGCGGAAATCTAATCTAGATCTTCAATCTCCATCTCCAAGCTTGTTTCCCGAGCTCAAATGGTGAAGAAATCATCGAAAATAGCTCACAAAATGTTTCCAAGGTGCTCTCTCTCTAGAGTTCGTCCCTTGAGTGTTTGGGATCCAAAACCCAGCTCCTCCTATTTAAAATAAACTGCATTTATAAAGCTGACAGAGGCCAAGTTACGGCCAGTCTGTAACTTTGAAATGCGTTCTGCTTCCTGGGGCCAAAGTTACGGTCTGCACCGTAACTTTGAAGGCCAGCCCGTAAGTTTGAAGAGGATGTTGTCTTTCGGTCCTTACTCCCTCATCTGAACTCCGAATCAGTCGCCGTTTGATCCCAGTTGCTCATAGTCTCGTCCTCCTTCTTTACATGCCTAGATTATATGATTATTTGTCCATTATATGAGGTATAAATCCATTTTTCTTTGGGTCATGCCTGAGTTTCTTCCCCCGAGTCGCCAATTGATCTCCAATTGACTTGAAACTTGCGCCTATGCTTCACTTTACATGCTAGGACCTGAAATGCGACAAAGGAACACAACTTAGCGTAGAATAGTCCAAATTATGATAAACACCAAGTTAAACAATCAAGAAATGAGGGGTAAAACATGTGCAAATTCAGTGATATCACTATGGTAGACTCTAATTATACGAGGACTTTCCTTGCTTCGTGCTCCCATGCCATCTTTAACCCTTGCTCAATCCCTGCTAGCTCTGCCTTTGTGATTGATCCCCATCCCAAATTCATGGTAAAAGCCTTTACAAACTGGCCACTGTCATTATAAACAACTCCCCCATTGAGGTACTCGATGGTGAACAGAGAACTAAGCCATTTGTAGTAATACAGATCCAGCTGTGTTGCGGTGGTTGCCAATTAATCCACCGCAGATCTTGCTGGCCTACTCCTCCAAACAAGTTCCTCTCTTTTTCAAAGGTTGCCTTGATCTGCTGCTGGAGCTAAGAAGCTCGAAATTGCAGCTGAGCAAAAGTGCTCAATCCCCCTTGAAATAGCCAAGCATTACGATTCTTACATAGAAACCAACACGTCCCACCAAAGAGAGAATCGTCGACAACTGCTCCCTGCCTAGAACAGTATTGATGAATCCAAGCTCATAAGGGATGGCCAAAGAAAAGATAATGTGGTTCTTCCCCAAGCATCCTCGCCCATGTAGCTCTGGAGAAAGGGCATTCTTGTAGGACGTGGATAACTATTTCTGGCCCACTGCTACATATCTGACAGCTTTCGTCCTGCGTCAGGTGGCGCCTTCCTCTCTTGCATTCATTAGTGAGTAAACGCTCATGGGTCGCCAGCTACATGAACGTCCTCACTCTTTGCATGGCTTTGACCCTCCATATCGAGCACCATATCGGGTGTGTCGGATTGTCACTGTACTCCGCATATGTAAGTTCATATGCCATTTTGGTTGAGAATCTTCCATTTGCATTAAGCCGCCAACTCCTAATATCATTTTCATGGCAATTCGGGCGGGATGGAGGCGAACCTGCGAAATGATGTCCTTCGGTAAGTAGTGGGAAATCTATTGGAAGTTCCATTCTCCGTTAAGCACAAATTCCGCTACCAGAAGATCCAAAGCACCATGCGGCAGGTCTGCTGCATAAGAGTTCAAAGGGTCCCCATCATTGATCCATCTATCCTATGAGAATCTAACTTTCTTGCCATTCCTTATATTCCGAAAAGATGCCTCGTCAACAAGGTGCTAAATCCGCAACACACCTTACAATGATTGGAGATGCAACCCTGACTGCGGGGGTGCGTCTACCATCACAATATCATAGATATTTAGCATCCAACACCCGTGCCCAGAGCTCCTCGGGATTAGAAATCATTCTCCAAACAATTTTTAGCAGGGACGCATCATTCATTCGAGTGGAGTCTCTCAATCCGAAACTGCCTTCCTCTTGTGAACTACATAGGGTCTCCCAGTCCACAAGATGCATCTTCCTCCCTTCC